ATGCTCCTCGGGAGTGGCTAGATGCACATCCTGAACCTGAGCATGATCTCAGCTGGCTCTGATTCCAGCAGAAACTCACCAAAGACCTTCACAACACTGTCGTTGTTGTTAAATGTTGTCGAGTCAAGCACAAGTCATAGTGACCTTATGAACAAAAGACCAGAGTCCTATACTATATCATCATTTCTCTATGTTCATAGAGTTGCCAGAGGAATGTGGTTTAGGAAGTGAATGCCACTCCTGCTTCCATGGTTCCCAGATTGAGCTGGTAAGAGAAAAATCGAAGGATGACTGTAAACTAGCAGAAACAATACCATTAAATTGTCTCTATTTTGCAGCTGTGATCATATATGTCTATCACTTTTTAAGTCCGGGATTTTTTCCTTCCAGTTATGATAGTATGGCTAGATTAGAACGAATTGATGAATTGGGAAGAACTCTTCAAGTCATGAGACCTTTTGTGCAACTACCATTATTTTTTAAAAATATTTCTTAGAAATTAAATCCACCCTGGTTAAAGCAGCTCTCACACACTTCTCACCTACTCCTGTTCTCAGGGAGCTGAGTGAGTGTGTCTGCTATGTGTAACTTCTTCATTTCAATTTCTCTTTTTAAAACTGAAACATTAAGAAATGGAAATAGAAGGTTACTACTTAAAGCTCTAATAAGAACTAGTAAAATAAAAAAAAAAATTATAATTATAAGCAGTTATTACCCTGTAAGGATAGGATTCAGAAAGTCTTTCTCTTTTCGTTTGATATATTTCTGTATCATTTAGCAAGACATTAATCATATGTATGCATTACTGCTATGATAAAGAAAGCAAGGCATGTGTCAAAATAAGCTATCATGGCTCTTGAGTAACAAGTAAAGGAAAGTGTGCTTGCATTATGTTGTAGTTATAAAAATCTTACAATGCTAGTTCACACTTAACCCTGCTTGCAAGTGCAGGAGTGGCAGCTAAAGGCTAACAAGAACAGCAATCACTAAACAGAAAAGGGGATTGTGTAGAGTAGGGAGGAAAGGTTTGGAGTTGTAGATGTTATATGTTTGGTCAAATGCTGAGAAACTTCATATAAGAGTTCATGAGCGAACGAGTGTCACATTTAATTAGTCACCAGGTCTCTGCACAGGAAATCACAGGTCGGCCCCCTTGTCTTGATAAGCCTTGTTCATGCACTCACTCATTGCTGACTCGAAGCTGACCTTCCAGCAGGTTTTCAGAGGCTGTAGATTGCATGAGAGGAAATTGCCCATCTATCTCCCTCAAACTGCCAGAGAGACACAGTGTTTGGATCAACAGACCACATTCCTACAGAGCAGCCACTAGAATTCCAGCCTTTTCAGTCACCAGAGTTCACAGCCATTCCTGCGGGCACCTCTTTACCTACAAGGCAGAGAAGTATCCTTTTGTTATTATCAATTATAAATAAGTCATAAGGTTCTGGGAAGATCAGCTCTCCATTTCCAGCCAGAGAGGGAAAGAAAGGTAAGAATTTGTCAAGAATTGTCTTGTTCCAAAGATCATGGTCAAGTTTGTTTCATTTGTCAGCATCTTCATGCTTCTAGTCAGTGAAGCTGAACACTCAGGAATCCTTGCAAGGAGTGCGGGGCGGGGGGGGGGGGGGAATTTCCACTTAAAATTGGAGGAGATACAAAGCTTCTTTTTGCTGGTACTCTGGACTCTTACCAGATGTGAGTGAGTGAAACCAAGACATTTTTTTCCATCTTGAATCCTCTTCCTATATTCACCCCTTCATTCTAAACAATTAAGTCTGCTGCCATGATGAGAAACTTCCTCTTTCCTTTATTTAGGTAGCACAACAGCAAACACTTGGAGCTTCCCCAAACTACACTTCTCTATTTGATTTTCAAATTCCCACTCAACAGCAATGAATTTTTAGTTTTACGAAGATAAGTACTAGTTAGGAAAAGCTAAAAGGGGTAACTTTTAGCTACCTCAAAGGCAAGGAATTGTGACGAGCTCTTATCGTTACTAGGCCCAAAGAGAGGAAGAAAATTACAGAACTCAGAGAGGGCTGCAGTTACGGCTATGGCTGTATCAGAAGCACAGTAGATAAGGAAACTTGTTTCTTAAGTAGAATACCACTCTACTACAGTCAAGGAGGGAAAAGCCAAGAGAAGGAATAAAAATGCTCACAGCCTTCATTCTTACCCTCCAAATTGTGTCAGTGTCTGCCTTTGTCTCTACTCAACCATTCATGAGACAAAGAGGCATCTTAACCCAGATCATATGCAGAGTAACAGGAAGGAAAAGGAGATCTTGACACAAAAATAGCACAATATGTCACAACTTGCTACATTCTTCTCACAGTGTTTCCTGGGACTGTCTCCATCACAATGTAATTGGTTTAAGTTCACACTTTTCTGAGAGTTGTGGGGTTGCTTTTTGTTGACTTGTTTCTTACTTGCATCTCCCCCTTTATTTTCCTTTTACTTGGACAATATCTCAGTGATATCATTGATAACCTTGGCAGCTATTTATAAGTATTTTAACACTATGGCTTTGACTGCTCAAAAAACCAAAACAAACAAAAAACCCCCCACAAAGCAACACCCCCCATTACATCAGTGAGTAGAAGAAAAACAGTGGTTTATTACATCCGATCTAGAGGTTCCAAGATGTCAGAAATGTAGGCTGTTTCTAAATCACTATACACCCATTACTAGATTGTGCCTTTAGCCTTTAAATATTCCATTTTGGATTAGATGTATGGATATTGGTTACTCTCTCCCTGATTGCCATGCATAGTTGACACCCTATTTTGCAATGGAGTTGCAGCTAGTTAAGGGCATAATTGACTCAGAGCTGTGAGTTCACCTCTAGACTCTCTTACTTGAGTGTATGAGTCCTTTTTTTTCTAATTGAGATTTTAATGAAAGTTTATAAAGAACTTGGATTTCCATTCATTCATTGTTGCACATCTCCCAGTGCCCCCAGCCAACCACCTTCCACCGCCAGCCCCCCCAGTTCTCTCTCTGAAAAAAAAATTCTCTCATGCTGTACAATTTCCCACCCCTACCCCAGTCCACTTACTATGTAGCTCTTATTCTGGACTGTTGTCATGCAAATAATACCTAATCATATATTCCTTTTAAGCAGTTTTTTCCCTCATCTGTTCCAACGCAGTGTACATTACTTATCCACTCTTTTCTTAGTTTATCTCCAACCCCAGTGTCAGTCCTGTTTCATACCAGTGGCACTATGCAGTGTTTGTCCTTTTGTGACTGAGATATTTCACTCAGCATAATGTTCTCCAGGGTAACCCATTTTGTACAATATTTCATGGGTTCCTAAATTTTTGGTGCTGCATAGTATTCCATTGTGTAAATATACCACGGCTTCTCTATCCATTCATTTATTGATGGGCACTTGTATTGTTTCCATCTCTTTGCTACTGTGAACAACACAGCAAGAAACATGTTTGTGCATATATCTGCTTGGGTGGAAGTTCTGGTTTCTTTAGAGTATATTCCCTGGATCAAATGGTATTTCTATTTCCAAGTTTTTGAGAAAGCATCATACTGCCTTCCATAGTGGTTGCATCATTTTACACTCCCACCAACAGTGAATAAGGGTTCCAGTTTCTCCACAACTTTGCCAGCATCTGTTGCTTGCTGTTCTGTTGAATTTTGCTATTCTTACTGGAGGGAAATGATATTTCATAGTGTCCTTGAGCAAAACTCCTAATTTCCTTTCACTTCAGTTTCTTTATCTGTGTAACGGAGATTAAAACAGTGCTTAGATCATAGGGCTATTAAGAGGATTGACAGAGGAAATAGCTCGTAAGTGCTCAATTAACTGTTACTATTAATTCATATAACAGGACTGCTAGGAAAACAAACAGGTTCTTCCTGGAGAGAGTGAAAACAGGCTGCTCCTTGGAGGTAAGGATTCTGAAGCTCTGTCTGACATATTTTGGGCATATTTCAAGGAGGGATCAGTCCTTACTCCTGCCCGTAAAGTATGTACTAAACTCCCTCTATAAATTCAACAAATTGGAAGCATTTTCACAAAGTGAATACACCTCTATCTAGACAGATAGACATAGACGTCTCTTCAGACATCAGACTCTCTAGTTTGGAGTCATGAGAGTGGCCATCATTACTGTTTGTGCAAGCATAAGTAATTCTTCAAACACACAGAACTTTAAATTAAAGGGATAATGAATGACATTTTCTTCCTATGTGTGTTTCTCTTGAATGGTATACTTTAACTTTTTGTTTTACATTCATTCCAATGTTTAACTATCCTTTGGCTCCTCATTCACTCTTTCTTGTATCCATTTGTTGATGGATGCATCGGCAATATGTCTTCAAAAAGAGCTAGACAGAAAGGATGTGGAAATAAATAGAAAAAAAGCTCTTCTTGTCCCCACAAATCTGTGTATTATGCTATTTCTAGCACAAGAAACTTGGACATAATTACATCTGTACCAGCAAGTGATCATATTTCTCTCAAGTCTTTAAAACTTTTCTCTTTCCTTATCGGCAAATAGACATTTTCTGTCATTTAAGGTAGATCGAGGCTTGTGTGACTAAGACTTTTATCTTTCTATTCACACCCATCTTTAATGGAAAGAAAGAGCATTTAACTGACCTCAAAATTTGTCAGTCTTTCCACAGAGTCTGCTTGGGGCTGGGGACAAGACATAGATGCAAGAAGGTGTGGGAGTTGTTTGAACCACAGAATAGTTTCATATCAAAGGGATGTGTGCTTCAAGAGGGAGATTATAACCCTAGAGTCAATGAGAACTGAGGGAGAGACTCGGGTCCTGACCTTTGATAAATTACTTCATCTCTACAACCTCCACTTCCCTCATCTGTAAAATGAAGATGGTAATTCTCACTCAGCAGGGAGCTCCTGAGAATTAGCAATCATATAATTGGTATTCAACTCTTGTTTGTGTTTCAGGAGCACCAGCAGAGGGATGAGCACGGAACCAACTTTCCCAGATTGGAGAAACCAATCCCCACCAATGAATAAAACTGTCACTCCAGTTAATGGCATGGAGATCCTGATCCTAGAACCGCTCATCCTCATCACTGCGGTGGGCGGGCTGGTGGGGAACGCAGCTGTACTCTGGCTTCTTGGCTTTTGCCTACAGAGGAATCCTTTCTCAGTCTATATCCTCAATCTGGCTGGAGCTGACTTCCTCTGTCTCTGCTCCCTGATAATACATTCACTAATCAAATTTTCTGGCTTCTCCTATACAACTCCTTACTTCATCCACTATTTCCTCCACGTTGTGATTCTATTCAGCTACATTGCTGGCCTGAGCTTACTTAGTGCTGTTAGCACTAAGCGCTGCCTGTCAGCCTTGTACCCAATCTGGTATCACTGCCACCAACCAAAACACCTGCCAGCTGTCATATGTGCCCTGATCTGGAGCATGTCTCTGTTTCTGAGCATCCTGGAATGGAATTTTTGTATATCAATGATCATGCACTCCAAGGTTAATTGGTGTCGGAATATTAATTTCTTCCTTGCCACTTGGCTGATTTTCTTGTTTGTGGTTCTCTGTGGATCTAGCCTGGCTCTGCTGGTGAAGATGTTTTGTGGCTCCCAGAAGAAGAAGCTGACCAGCTTCTATGTGACCATTGTGCTCACAGTATTGATTTTTCTTCTCTGTGGCCTGCCCTTCGGCATTTATTATTTCCTATTATTCTGGATTCCAAGGACTTCTATTAAGTTACATTATCCTTGGTTTCTACTTCTCTCCTGTTTTAACAGCAGTGCCAACCCCATCATTTATTTCTTTGTTGGCTTCTTTAGACAGCGGCGACTGCAGCCAACCCTCAAGAAGGTTCTCCAGAGAGCACTGCAGGACATTCCTAAGATGGATGAACCTGGAGGAAACCTCCCTCAGGAATCTGTGGAGAGGTCAGGGAGCAATGAGATGTAAAGTTCAGCATCTCTGCTTTGGCCAGAAAAAAGTGTGACCTCAGAGTTAACTTCACTGCTATCAACTTGGGTGATTTTCTTCATTTCTTTCACTTTATGCCTCTGATCATAAAATGGGTAAGATAATATTCTTCAGTGTGATTATTATAAATGCTAGCAGAATAACTCATTTCATGTTAGACTACTAATTGAAAAGTTGGGGGTTGAAATTCACCAGTTGCTCAGTGGGAGAAAGATTAGACAGTCGGCTACTGTAACAATGTACAGTTTTGGAAATCTAGTGGTGATTCATCATAGTGAATCAGAATCTACTTGAAAGCGGTGGACTTTGTGGATCACAATAGCAAGGAGTTGGAAACAACCTAAGTGCCCATCAACAAACGAATGGCTAGAGAAGCTGTGGTATATTCGCACAATGGAATACTATGCTGCATTAAAAAACAAGGAACTCATGCAATATTATTCAAAATGGTTGACTCTGGAGAACATTATGCTGAGTGAAATATCCCAGTCACAAAAGGACAAATATTACATGATGCCACTGTTGTAGAATGGGACTGTCCTTGGGGTTGGGGAGACACTGAGTAAGATGGGTTCAATAATGTATACTGCACTGAAGCAGAGAAGGGAGAGAACCGTCTAAAAGAGAGATGTAACTCGGTATTTCTGTCATCACAGGAGACAAGAGCGAGGGCTGCATGGTGGAGGGGACCTGGGGGAGGGTTTGTAAAACAATGAAAGAATCTTTTCTTTTACTTTTCCATAATTTTTGGACTCATGTACTTATAACTTGTTAGTCAAATTTGTGTCTTCTAGGTTGCAACACCCCCATGATACATCTTGAAGGATATGTACATGTACAACCAAGCACAATCAATAAGAGTGCATCTGAATTCCAAAATCAATCTCCATAATAGTCTATGTGTTTCCTACTGCCAAAGGGGCCCTTTAGAGTAGTGAGAGAAGATCTTCACCCTGAAACCCACAGCGTCCCTTTTCAGCAAGAAGTAGCTAAGAGAATACGCCGTCCCCTTTTCCTTATGACTCAGGGTGAAGACTCTCTCAGGGAGGAGTGATAGGGAATGGCAAAGGATACACTGACAAAGAAGATTAATCAGAACTGGCTTTGACAAGCACTGTGGCATTTGGACAAGAACAAACTGGGAGGAGGGTAGAGAGAATAGTGCAACAAGAATGAGTGGAAGCCCAAAATCTCTGTAAATGTTTATGAAAATTAATAAAATATAATTATAGAAAAAAAAAAAAGAAAATATCTGCTAAAGCAACACAGAGTACAACTTAAGGACTTCCTGCTTAGGGGCCTTCACCTCATCCTCATGTCAGCAGTTGTCAAGTCTGGGGTCCAGGACTAATCTGCTATTTTTGTTGTAGTAGTGGTTTTTGTGATAACAATTACCCATTTATTTGTATCTTTTATAATACAGTCATGTATACTCTATTGTTTAAGATCTGTTTTGTGAAATAGTATATTATGTGCTTGGATGGTATACAAACCACTGTTATGTACACACAGCCCCCAGATTACAAACACATGCTTTTCCTGAACCTGTCTTTCAGTCATCTTCACATGTGAGTCAGAACAGTTAGACATGGTTCACATCTCACAATAGCCAAAAGTTCATTATAGTGTGTATTATACCTTTCTGTGCATAAAAATGTAAAGAAGTACTTCCAGCTAAAACTAAAATACCTTTAGCATAATGTTATGGTAATAAGGATGATAATGTTTGATACATGTTGCAAATTAACACCTGCTTATTGTTATGAATCTTTGTATATACTTTAATTTTTAATATAGTAGCCTTTGTGGAATTATATGTGGTTCAAATTGACTGGACATATATCATGTGCCACATGCTTATAATCATATTGTTGTAAAAATAAATATTAACAAATTTTGCCATTTGAATTATTTGGTAGATAATTCACTGACAGTACTTACATTCACCAAAGTGTACAATCATCACAGTGATCTGTTTCCTTATTAGTTTCGTTACCCTAAAGAGAAACTGAGAACCTCTTTTGCAATTACTCCTTATTTTTCTCTGCCTCAGTCTTTGTTATTGTTGTTAGGTGCTGTAGAATATGACTCAGTAACCCTAGGAACAACAGAACTAAGTTCTGTCCTATCCTGTACCATCTTCATAATTTCTGACATACTTGAGCCCATTACTGCAGTCACTGTTTCAATCCCTCTCATTGAGGATCTCCCTCTCTTTTGCGAACCCTCCACCATTCAAAGTATGATATCTCTTTCCAAGGAAAAGTCTCTTCTAACAACATGCCCAAATTATACAAGACAAAACTCTATCTTCTTTTCCTTCAAGGAGCACTCTGGCTGCAATTTCTCCAAACATACCTGTTTTTTTTCTTTTGTCTTTCCATGAGATATTCAGTTCTCTTCTCCAGCACAACTCAAAGGCATTGATTGTTCTTCTGTCATACTTATTCATTGTCTACTATATCTAACTGGTTTTGAGGGTTGTTGTTGTTGAGTCTTTAGGGTTTTCTGTATGTACTGTTATGTCATCTGCATACAGTGACATTTTATCATATCTTTTCTGCTTATTTCCTTCTCTTGTTTTATTGCCCTAGCAAGTACTTCCAATATAATACTGAATAGGAGTGGTGAAAATTGGAATCCTTGTCTAGTTCCTGTTTGCAAGGGTAATTACTTTAGTCTTTCTTCATTGAGAAAAAAAATGTTGGTTCTTGGTTTTGTGTATATACTTTTCACTGTGTTGAGGAAATTTCCTTCTATTCCTATTTTGTTGAGTGTTTTAATTAGGAAGGAATGTTAGATTTTCTCAAAGGCCTTTTCTGTATCAACTAATAGAATCATATCATTCCTTGTTCTTTGCTTTGTTATTGTGATGAACTGCATTGATTGTTCTTCTTATGTTGAACCGTCCTTGCATTCCTGTATAAATTCCACTTGGTCATGATGAATTATCTTTTTGTCATACTGTTGGATTGTATTGGCTGAGATTTTAAGGATTTTTGCATCTATATTTATGAAAGATATCAGATTATATTTTTCTTTTTTTATATCTTTACCTAATGTTGGTATCAGCTAACATTATCGGCTCCTGTTACAATGTACAGTTTTGGAAATCTAGTGGTGATTCACCATAGTGAATCAGTATCAGGGTTATGTTCACTTCATTGAATGACCCTATTTTCCTCCCAAATAACTTAAGTAGAATTGGTAACAGTTTGTTTCTGAATGTTTGAGAGAATTCATCCATGAAGGTATCTGGGCCAGGATTTTTTTTTTTTTTTTGAGAGAGTCTTTTTATGACTTACTCAATTTCTTCTTTTGTGATGGTTCTGTTCAGGTGCTCTACATCTGTCTTTGTTAATCTGGTTAGGGTGTGAGTTTCTAGGAATTTTCCCATTTCCTCTAGGTTTTCAAATATATCAGACTGTTGCTTTTCATAGTATTCTGTTATTATCAATTTAATTTTAGCTGATTTTGTTGTAATATCTTTTAAATTTCTTATTCAAGTTACTTGTTTCTTCTCTCTCTCTCTTTTTTAAGGTTATAGATGCTTTGTCTATTTTATTGACCCTTTCAAAGAATCGGCTTCTGGTCTTGTTCATGGTTTCAACTGTTTTTCTGTTTTCTATTTCATTTCTCATTTATTTCAACTCTTGTCTTTATAATTTACTTTCTTCTACAGGCTGTGGGGTTAGATTGTTGGTCTTTTTTACTGATGATGGATTCAAACTCTAGAGAGATGTTGGCCTTTGGGTTAACAGTGCAGCTCTCTATGGACTAACCCCCAGGGCTCCCTACCCACAAGAACAAACTTGTTGTTACTTGCTGTAAGTTGGGATAGAACCATAGCTGACACTCCAGTGGGTTTTCAGAGTAATAAATCATGTGGGAGGAGATTGCCCATGCTTCTCCCACAGAGCCACTGGTGGATTTGAACCAGATGCCTTTAGGATTACAGCTCAGACTAGGCTATCAGAGTTCTCTATTTACACCCTAAACATATATTTTAAAAAGATTCTAAGATGCACAAATAGGATTAGATAAACAAGACGATTGGAACCTTCTAAAAACTACATGCTTTGGGGCATCAAAGACTTCTTCAAGGGAGTAAAATGAGAACCTAGAGATTGGGGAAATATTTGGCAAAGACATAACCAAAGAGGATGAAACAAAATTTTTTTTAAAACTTCAGACCCTCCATCAAAAAAGACACAAACACTCCAGTGATAAAATAAGCAGAGGACAAAGGCAAAGACTTCACCAAAGAAGATATTGAGTTGGTCAACAGCACATGAAGGAATACTTGTTTTCACTACCCATTGCTTTTGTTGTTAAATGTGTGGAGTTCATGCCCACTCATAGTGATCTTATATTGAACAGACTGAAAATCCACCCCATTCTGTATCCTTATCATAAGGCTTTTACTGCAGGTAGTTCTGTTCAGAGTCTTTCTTTTCTCCACCAATCCTCTACTTTTCTGAGCATAGTGGTCTTTTCTGGGAACAAATCCCTCATAATAATGACCAAATTATTTGAGACAAAAATATCAACATCCTTTCCTCTAAGGAGTTGCAGTATGCAAATCTTCCTAGACAGATTCATTTCCTTTTAGAGCAGTTTGTGGTGTATTTAATAATTTTCACCAACACCTCAATTCAAGGAATCAATTTTTTTCTTAGGTATTCCTTATGCAACTTTAATGTGCACATGAAAAAAATTGAAAATGCCATTGCTTGGTACTTCCTGGATGATACTCTAACGATACTTCCTGCATCATTCAACATTATTCACAGAATCCTTCAGTATTGTAATTAGAGGCATAAACTCTTTCATCAGTTCTTTCATCTTGAGAAATAAGTGTCAACTGTGTTCTTCCCTTATTGTTTTCTAACTCCATACCTTTCCATATTTTATAACAATATTTTGATTTGCCTCCTTGAGCTACCATTCTAAAACTTTTGTTCAGAATTCTTTTGTTC